GATTTATTGTAGAGATGAGGTCTCGCCAAGTTGCCCAGGCGGGTCTTGAACCTGCGGGCTCAGGCAATCCACCCACCTCAGCCTCCCAAAGGCGCGGGATTACAGGCTGAGCCACCGAGCCCGGCTTTTTTTGGGTCTTTTTGAGCTGGAGTCTCACTCTTGTCGCCCAGGCTGGAGTGGAGTGGCATGCTCACAGACACCGCAGCCTCAACCTGCTGGGCTTAGGTAATCCTTCAGCCTTAGCCTTCCAAGTAGCTGGAACTACGGAAGCAAGCCACCACGGCCAGCCAGTTTTTGTGATTTATTGCAGAGATGAGGTCTTACCAAGTTGCCTGGGCTAGTCTCGAACCCCTGGGCTCAGGCAATCCTCTTGCCTCAGCCTCCCAAAATGCTGAGATTACAGGCTGAACCACTGTGCCCAGCCCACTCTTCATCTTATTATCTTATATTTTCTAGTTTGCTTATCTGTTCTTGCCACAAAAACTAGATACAAAGTGGTATGTAGTGGTATGCAGCAGACATTTAATATTAATAAGTGTTTGCTGAATGATGCCTGAAATCTCTCAATCAACTCCATTCAGAACTCCAGCCAATACCACCCCTTTCCCGCTCCAGCCCCGCCCAGCCCCTCTGCTCTGTGAGTCCCTTACCTAGACCCTTTGTCTGAAAGGGCACCCAGTCAGCATAGGGAGAGGGCCCCAAGGCATTGGCACAGCGCACCCTGAGGCTGTAGTTTGTGGCAGGCACCAGGTCCCGAAGCAGGCAGGTAAAGGGTGGCACAGGGACCACAACAGCCAGGACCTCCCAACCTCCTGGGGCCTGAGTCACCTACAGAAAAGCAGAAACCTAATGATGCACAGGAGGGCAGTCTCTAAGGCATGTGAGATGAGACAGAAGACGGGATGATAGATACAGGTATGGGGGCTTCCTCTAAACCTGTCTGCAAACACTTGCAACCTACTCCATCTCACCTGTCCCCATGCCAGTAATGCACTAGATTCCACACCTTTATGCCTTTGCAAATGCTGTTCCTTTTGTTCCTCAAAAAGCCCTACTCACCCTTTAAGACTCCAGTGCAAATATCAGTTCCTGGTGAAAGCCTCTCTCAACTACTCCAGAAAATTCACTTGTCCCTTTGTACTTGGTGCAAAACTGTTAGAGTACTTAACACTTTCTGTAATTGTGGACACGCCATTCCAAAGTCTCAGGGCTTATAAAGGTCAGAGAAATTGGGAGCCTCAGGGGTACTAGGAACCAGCTTCTTGCCTTACATTTTTGGATCCCAAGTCCAGGGTACAAATAGAGATCCATGTATGGCTAAATATTTAAGCGTTATAAATCTGCTAACAAACTATCTTTTATTTTTATTTTTGAGTCAGAGTCTCACTCTGTTGTTATCCAGGCTGAAGTCCAGTGGCACGCTCACGGCCACCACAGCCTCAATCTACTGGGCTCAGGTGATCCTTCCACCTCAGCCTTCCAAATCTATCTTTCTTTTAGATTAGAAAATACAGCTTATTTAGAAAGTAAATTTGAGCCGGGCTCAGATGCTCAACCTGTAATCCCAGCACTCTGGGAGGCCGAGACGAACGGATTGCCTGAGCCCGCGGATTCGAGACCCGCCCGGGCAACTTGGCGAGACCTCATCTCTACAATAAATCAAAAAAATTAGCCGGGCGTTGTAGCGCACGCCTGTAGTTCCAGCTACTCAAAAGGCTGAGGCTGAAGGATCGCTGGAGCCCAGCAAGTCAAAGCTAAGGTGGCCGGAAGCATTCCACTCCAGTCTGGGCAGCAGAGTGAGACTCCAACTCAAAAAAAAAAAAAAAAGTAAATTTGAGAGAAAAAGAAGAGATTCACCTCCCCAAAGTAGGGGAGGGGGCCAAAGTTTAAGAAACATGGCCTGGTCATAGCTCAAAGAACACATGGCCACACCATAGCTTAGCAAGGCAATGGCCGCAATGGCCTGGCAATGGCCACAAATTATTAGTGTTTTTTTTTTTTTTTTT